TTTTTTTTTTTGCTGGTGTTTATAGCAAAAAATTATATTTATATATAAATATATAATATATAATTATATATTTATCTTTTGTTATTTAGTAACTGAAACATTAAATACTTACACCTGTTTAAGAAGTTATCAATATTTTTGTTTTTTCTTAAGGCAGGAAAATCCAAGTCATATACCAAAGCATCTAATCCATCCTGTAAAAAAAATGAAAAAATTGTGTTTTCCAAATATGAAAAGAACAAACAGCAGTTCGATATTGTTAGAAAGTCACAACGTATCACACATTAAGCACTTGAACATTAAGTGGCAACTGGCGAATAGCACAATGACAGTAATTTAATTCCAAGAGTCAACCTCCACATTGTATTCATTGAATTCAGAGGGAATTTTCATGGACGAGATGTTGGCTTTATGCACTCTAACTTAAATGTAGGAAAGAACAGCCACAAGCCCATCGGGCCTTAGTACCACAGAATACATCCCTATGAAAAAAAACCACACCAAACCAAAAAACACCAAAATAACACAACAAAAAATACAACAACAACAAAGAAGATAGTAATGTTAAGGTCTTGCTAAGTGCCATGTACTTCCTGACTTAAAGTTTAAGTCCAAGTTTTACAGCAGGTATAAATGATTCTTCAGTGGATTCTCAGAGCAAAACTAAATCACATATTTTGGTGGAAAACCACAGATATGGTATCTAATGAAAAATGACCAACTATTCTAGGGAACTATATCACAAAGAATCAAATAGCATCAGGAAATGCTCTTTCTCAACTGGGTAACGTTTAGCCGACAACTGCAAAAATCGAGAGGAAGGTCATAAAACACAAACTGATGGATGTTAACAAAGCGTGCCAGGGAAGTACCGCTGTTTACTTGTCCCATTCGTACCCACGTGTCTCTGCCGTCTGTTACTGACCTGTCGGGAGTGAGATGTTAGACCAGACATATCTTTGATCTGATCAGTTCAGATCTGATTTGATCTAATTTGACTGGTTTCAGCTTTTATAAAACTATGCAATACAGGATTTAAAGCTGATCTATCAGTCTTTTACCACTACATCCATTAAGTAACTATGCCTGAAGAAAAGCGAGAGTATAAGCTTTTTGAAAGCTTATTTTCCAGGAATGTATATTAGAGAACACACTTGATCTAGATTAAAAAAATCAGTCTTTTGATCTCTCACTTCAAATTAAAACTTGGTTTCCCCCCCTCAGTCTAAGCTACAAAAAAAATCAAATGCTATCAAAATCAAATTTATAGGCTTGCAGTAGCCACTTTTGAAGTATGTGAGACAGTAATTATTTACTTCAGATATAATGAGAATAAGCAGTAAAATCATGCTAGAATCTGAAAACAGGGGTAAGGAAGTAAAACTACAAGGATAATCAGAATTGTTTTAAAGGCTGGACGTTATTTAATTTGTTAATTTCATAAAAACATTCCTGTTTTAGGTTACTTCTCCATACAGTGGCTTAGTTTGAACTAAGAAATTTTACAATGAAAGTTATAAGAATCAAAAAAAGCATCACAATTATTTTCACAGTACTTAAGTTTTGCATCTTGAGTGTATTAAAGGATCATCTTTTTGGACTTACACTGATGATGAAAAAGGTAAGCAAATGGCAATGAAAAACATTTAATGGGTCAGTAATATAAATAAGTAAGAGTAAATAAATAAAAGAGCAAGAGGCCAACAACAATTTGGACTCAAGACAGATGTAGAAACAAAGCTATGCAGGATAAGTGCAACTTAGCAAGAAATACTTTGTAACCTACTAAAAGACATATTTTCCAAAGATGCATAGTAAATATCCAGGAAATCCACTAAAGAGTTTAGGTAAATCCAACAGAGAAGCCATGATAAGGGCTGGTGCAGCAGTACAAAGCACATGGAGAGCCCTATGCACTGAGCTCCACGCTGTGAGAAACGGTAGGCAAAGAACACCCCGGGGGTTGCTCCGTCACACCCAGGGATTTTTAAAAGCAGAGGAGTGATGGTGACAAACTGCCAAAGTTTGCGGTCCACTCTGCCCTTAAAGCTTTCAAATCTGTTGAGTCAATCCATTTGTCCAGGGTCACAGCTAACACAGAAAACTTTTCCACACATCAAGCAGAAGCACAACAAAATTCTCCAAACCCTGGTTTGCTCCTGGGCAGTGCAATTACCTGCTTCACTTCAGGGTTTGCTTCATAAGTCAAAATTCAGTCTTTTCCTTTAGAGGAGAGGAGATTTTAAACACTGAACACAACAATATAGGACAACTGGGAATATTTACAAATTTTTAACATCAATCTTACTTTGTATCATACTTTCTTTCAAAATATTAAAATATAAGCCCATGCAGGAAAAAAAGCAAGAAGTACAGAAGGTGTCATGGTTTCATAGGTCTGTCAGGTATGTTGGGTACTTTATTGTGCTTATTTTTAAAAGCTCTAAAATAAAGATGAAAAATAGTACACATATTCACTTTTAACTGGCAAAAGCAAGTTTCAATACTGTTTAATTCAGAATTCACCATGAAAACACCGCCTTTCAGATCTTAGATATGAACTCTTTCAAGTAAAACACTTAAGAAAAAAACCCTTTGAAATACAGATTCAAGCTATGGATCTCACATTAATTTCAAATCACACTTAATCATGCAAACAACATCTAAGGAAGTTGCATGACCGGAATTGCTTATCTAAACGGCTTGTCAATAATCAGCTCCCCTTTGCTGCAATTTCCAGAGAAAACCTACCCTGGTTCAAAACTTTCACTAAAAAAAAACGGTAGGGGTGGGGTGTTGTCTCTGTAATAATTGAGAGACATGTAAATCCTTAGCACTCAAAATCATTAATTTCTTTAACTGAGGTACGTTTCTGAAGAAAAAAAGCATTATTTTAATGGTGGACTGCAAATACAAGACTAAGCTTAAGGTCTTTTTGGAGAATTGTGAATACTGAAAGTAATATATTTGGGATACTGTCCTGGTTTTTAGGAAACCACCACAGATACCTAGTGTATAACATAAAACATAGAACAGCCTTCTTATTTCACTTACATTAACTAAACCAGAAGAACTTGTGAAAGCTACAAGTTGTCCCCAGTACAAAGGGAATCACAGAAGCATGGCTATTTTGAGTGGCATCACTGGTGAAGAAACACGAAGGAGCAGCACACAAGCTCAGCAGTGAGAAGGCGATGCCGGTTCAAAGCGGTGCAGGCCGCAGAGGTGGGAATACACTACAGAGTTTTAGCAATAATGGTTGGGAAAAAAGAGGGTAAAGGCCAAACAAGACACAATCATTATTGTTGATGGCTGCAGAGTTAACTCTTCTCTCAGCTTTCTTGTTATTGTCTTGCTCAATCTTTCAATATGCCATCTGACTTTCCCTAATAGAAAAGGGAACATGTTTCCTTCAAGACCTATAGTAGCCATACCCTCCTCTTCAAGAAAAAAAGATACTAAGATGTCATTATAATAGGCAACCATACATTCAATATGCTTTATTAAAATAAGAATACATTTTTATGATGGATTTCTTCCCCACTTGGAAGGGTTCAATATATTTTTAGTATGTATCTTCTTTAAATACAGCAAGTCCCGTACTTCTTAGAAACACATATTGTCACTTAGAGCTAATGACAAGTTCTACCTTAATCCGTCATTACAGAGCAATTTTCCTGTTTAGCTTTGAGGTCTACATAGGCATTTTCCTTTTAAGTTAATAGTTAAATTAGACTACCGAAATAAACTGGAAGCTATTACAATGTGCAGAGAGCTCTTCCACATGAAACCAACGCTTCCACATACTCTGTTGCTTTCATTTCATTCATTACTACTTACAAGTAGTAATGAAATGAAACTTACAAGTTTCAAAAGAATGGATAGAGGGAGTAAAGTCAAATTTCAGTCTGGACACATATACTGCCTCTGGAGATGACGCTGACGATCTAGGAAAGAGGACATGAACAAGTCCAGCATATGGTAGTACTACTCTGGTGTATTGGTGAGACAGAAATGGCACTGTCATAGTTAACAGCTCTAGCCAGAAACTTCTTCAGTGATTTTGTCTAAACATTTTCTGAATCTGTTTTAGTCTCTTGCATTTACAGCGTCATATAGATACGAATTCCACCATCTATATGCTATGTGAAATGTACCTCATTTCAAGCCTGTCACTCTTCAGTCACAGAAGAAACAATGATTCTTTGCCCACATGCTCCAAGACACAGCTTTACACACTTTCATCATTCCTTCCTTGGTCACCTCTCTTCAATTATCCTTTATGAAAGCTACTCCAATTGCCACCACCGCCACCCTCCAGTGCTTTTTTATTTCTACTACATACTTTCGGAATTGGGGGGGAAACTGCAAACAGTATTTAAGTCATGAGCACACTGGAAGTACATAATACAGTACTATGTTTCCTGTTCTGTTCTTAATTAAATTTTAAGTTATTAATTGAAATATCTGGTTAATTTTTTATAGTCACTGTGTACTAATCGATTTTTTCACAAAACTAGGTACTATAAATCAAAGCTAGTTTAACATTCAACAACACAAGTACATAAAGATAAGAGGTTTTTCTCCCATGCACTCACTCAACATTCAATACTGAATTTCACCTACCACTTTTAATCACCCAGACACCAACTCATATTATTTTTTTCTGTGATTAGTTATAGCTTTAATTTTTACTACTCTATCATCATTAATTAATCATTATTCACCATTTTAGATCACTTATGGCTGTGAAATAGCATAGAGCTGTTAGACTCCATTACTGATCTCTGTTTTTAATAAACTGATCACTAGCTCTCACTTCATTCATTCGTTCATCCATCCACAAAACAAGCCTAGTCCAAAGCAGTTTAATTTTGACAAAAAGCTTAAATGAAGAGCCTCATAAAAAACTTTGTTATCCTCATACTCAGCAATTACTTCAAGGAACTCTATTAGGTTTGCAAAGCATGACTTTCCTCCAAATAAGAAGAAAGTTAGCTCTTCCCCATCATAACACTTGTGGGCTCGCTTGTTCTGCCACTGGGCTGGGGGCACCTGCATTATACACAAGAATTGTTTCTTCAACAGAAAAAATAATAAAAAGCTATATATTTACCATCTTCCTTCCTACTGTTGTCAAAACCATTTTAAGCACTAATGTAGATAAATGCTAATATACACACACTTATATGCC